ATAATATAATATAATATAATATAATATAATATAATATAATATAATATAATATAATATAATATAATATAATATAATATAATATAATATAATTAGTAGTATATGTTTGTTGTTATATTTTGCTTGGTGTAACATTTAGGGTTAGGGATTTTATATGCCTTATATGCGGTCGAACAGAAACATTTATCGTATTTACTTAATCGACCGCTATCAAAATATAGGAAACACGACATTATTATTCCTCGTAGTTAATTTAAAGTGACTCGGCATATCATTTGCACTTCAGGAATGATCGTTGATTTAATGTGAAAATCTAAATCTAAATGAGAATACAACTTGGGGCCGTGTATTGTTTCTGTCACTATGTTGTTTGCACGAAAATACAGTCACAATTTTGTAGACCGCGGTTTACAGTACAAACAGTTGAACAATAACGCTTATTCGAAATGGCCTTCAACGTATTAAAACAGCGAGGTGATTTAAATATTATAATTGGGTGAATGTTTTCGCCTAAAAATACCATAATACAGTACTACTACTGAAAAAGCACATCTCACTACTTTGCATCACAAATTGTGTCATTTTTGACAACTGGTAAGTAAAATATAATATACTACATTCTTATTTTCATTTCAAATAATTTTATATTCATAATGCACGTTGTGGGGTTGAGCGCATGCCTGATGTGACCATCACAAATGGAACGCTATTCCAGAACGTAAAATAAACTTAATCCTATGCCTGCAATTTTTCTAAATACACTGCAAAAAATGTGACACGGAGAGTAAAACATTCAACAGCTGACTATTTTGCCGTTTTATATTTGGTTTTAGTCGAAAACAAAAGTGTGTGATTAATTTTTAGCTGTAGTTTTGAGCCACATTCCCATACGGTGCAATGCACTGAAATTATTGCTATCATATATAACGTCATTTACGTCATCCATGATAACGAGGCAGTACCATACAGCTACAGCACTCGTCTATTTTTGTCATTGAAGACGGAATATTACTATGATTCGCGGTTGAAACCTATCGGAGATAGAGAATCATAGCCTTTGGCCCTGTATTTACGAATCTACAGTTGACTAATTGTAAGTATACATTGGGTCATTTTGGACGACGTATACGTAATGTTCGGATTATTTGAATGAAAATATATTACCACACACAGGCGTGCGAATAATTCTAACCCTGATTCACGATATTAGGATTATTTTTGTAAGGAAGTGGTGAGAGCGATTGTGAAAGCAGTCATTTTGTTTTTCTGATCAGCCATCGTTGCAGGCATATTTTTTTCAACTATAAATCCCGTAAAGCATGTATTGCCGTGAGATGTTTATTTACTCTACGTAAAGTACATATCGAGGATCAGGGCAAACTTAGAATAAAAAACACTGACACATATTATGCTGCTCATACAACTGTTATTCATGTCAATTTCAATGTTCTAGCTGTGCTTATAGTCTAAATTGGCTTGAGCATGATTTTCACAAATACGTGCATATAACAATAGGCACTTTATAAATAAACAATATTTAAATAGCGTATGACCTTTGTTGGTTTTACATTGCAATCACTAAGGCTATAGAGTATTTTGTTTGAACATACTTCCGGACATTTCGCTTTGATTGAATCATGTTCCAACCACACAAAATATAATATTATTTTATTATTACCCGGCGATATATAACACGTGAAATATGACGATATATACATTCCCAACAATTTATTAAAATAAAATGTCAACAATTGTATTTTCTGTGTTTTATTTTGTCATTAAAATGCAGCTCCAGCATATATAATATCCATTGAGTGTTACACATTACAGTGATTACAACATTTCACAAATTTTCCCCAAATTCCCAGATATGTTGAATTTTATTTCACCTTATATTGAGGGGCTTATACTGACAGGAGACATTATGCGGGCTGCAACACTGCTGATTATAACAAAAGTGCATTCTGATTGGTATGTTAGTACCACGTGCAGCCCCATAACCATCCAATACCTGGCAGTGCACGAGTAATTCACGAACGAAGAAAATTTATTTTGGACCAGCAATATTTGGACGGATTGCTTAAACAAGACGCACATAATTATTCGTTTTAAGTAATTTTTGCATTATTTTCCTCTATTTGCTGTCATAAGCGTCATGTAATAGTGTGCCTGGGTACAAGGTTCATGCTCACCAGGTTATTATCGGAAACCTAAACTTGATTATGTAGATATTATACATTACTCTTACTAGATTGATAATTGATATCGATTTTAGTTGAGTAATGTTGGTTATATAATTAGAAAGGCCTTCTAACTTAGTGATATTTAGCAGCGCCGTTAGCAACATATTGTTCACCCCACTGGAGTGCACGTGGTTGATTGCCATCTCTAATGTGTTCAGCACCGCCGATAATTATATGGTGACGCGGGTAATATGTCTAACACCGATAGCGATTAAGCGGTCTCTGTAGAATATGGTGAAATGTTTTTTTAACAAACGTATGTGATTCTTTGATAGGATATATTTGACAACCAACCACCATAATGGCTCAAAAGGTGAGTATTCTAATACAATCTGCTGTCATAACAACGTTGCTAATAAACTGTTTCTTTAATACGGACATAATATCAGCGAACATTCTTTAATATTTAGGCACAAAAGACCGTGTTATGCAAACCCCTCTCTGCAACCGTGTATTTCATTAAAGCGCGGTAGTCGTCGCGCTGCGCATGTGCGAGATATATGGGTCTGATATAAACAAAGATGGCGACTTTGACTGTTGTGCAGATCAACGAGTACAAAGTGAGACGTTTTCAAGCTTCAATTAGGTAATTTTCAAGTTATTCGAAGGTATCAAGGAATCACCGGCGGTAATCAGTCGCACCCAGGTCAAACTTCATACTTGTAATTTTCATTTGAAGAGCGCATTGGATTGTGGGAAATCAATGTTTACCACCACAAATGTCCCACGTTTGCAGCGCGACGACTACCGCGTTTTAAAATGTAAAAATTGCCATGTATATTTTTCATTGATGTATATATATTGTTTGTTTTTTGCTTCAGGAAAAATGCTCAAATTTCGTAGTCATCGGAATAGTTGTAGCTGCTATTGCACTAGTTATTGCTATACTGGTGCTGGTATTAGTGCTTGTACTCCGGGACACAGACAACGAATTTGGTTAGTCATTTGAACTTATAATTGTTTATTGTTTACATTTGGGATGACGCTATATATATATTATATACATTATACTTGCCTTTATTGAAGATATAACTGAGTGTTATGAAGAGGTCGATGGAAGCGACTACCGCGGTGTAGTGAATACAACAAGAACTGGTGACGAATGTGCCAAATGGACAGCTCAAACACCTCATTACCATTCACGAACGCCGGAAAATTATCCAAAAACTGGTCTGGGGGACCACAACTACTGTCGAAATCCTGACGGTGACGTGGGTGTGTGGTGCTATACGACAGATCCTGATACGCGATGGGGATATTGTGATATCGGCTCACCGAGTGATGATTGTGGTAGGAATAACCATTATTATTATACATTCTGTCACCGTAATGTCATAAGTTACAGCGTGCCGTAATTTTGCGGTATTTTATGGGGTATTTTCATACTACCATATTAGGAAATGCGAATTCCAAATATGGTATGATTACGCGAGTAAGCGTCCTCTAATAATAAAAACAAACATGGCTGCCACCAGGAATTGACCGGACTCCACACAAATAAGTTCGCTGATTCTGTTCTAAACTTTTTGGTTTTCGGCATTCCCATGATGTAACATTGGAAGAAAAAGATGTATAATAATAAGGCTGCGCGTCGGTCGATATTGCCGCTGTACTGTCTTCGTGCATACTTTGAGGTATCTTCGTAATAACCTTATATGATACAACAATGTTTACAAATATAACTGTTTACCGATTTAATTGATTACACTGGTAATACATGTATTACACATTTCAGGTGGAACTACACTAGAACCAACTACAGTAATACTAGGTAAATTATTGGTTTGTGTTCGTTACGCTCCGCATGTTCGGTATTAGCCTTGATAGACATGGCTTTCTGAGTTTCAATATTGTCACGAAGTAATTTGTTTAGTCTTTGATGTGTTCTAGTCATTCATTCAATGAATTGCCTAATCTGAATTCTTGTATTATTTTATACGCGTTGATTAATAGTACAAGTTGTAATCTGTGTTCTTTGCACATGCGCCTCTCTACAACCACCGCCCTTTAATTACACCTTCTTCAAATAAGGGGAATCACTTGTCAATGTCATTGTTAGTGGCCAATGAAAAACAAATTATTATTATTATATATCAATAAATATATGTTATTATTTACGATTCGTATTTACAATTTGCCTTGCGCAATGTTGAATATGTTGATACAGGTTCTACTTCAGCTGAGAACCCAGTTTACACTACTATAGCAACTGAACACGTGAGTACACCAGGTAGGTGATCTATAAATACTACTACACATTGTAATATAGGTTATAATTCATTGTTTCTCCGTACATTATTTATGAATGAAAGTTGAATATGCTGCATAAAAAATTTCTGTTTAATTTTGTTTCCTTTTTCTTCTTTTTGTATTTATTACTTTTATTAATTGTTATTATTTGGCAAGTATGCATGTTCTGTTATGAAATGCCTTGTTTCTTGATCATCTCGTATTTGTATTGCATATCCCTCGAATTAGCCCATTAAGATGCATGCATGTTTTGTTTTTTTATTCAGATTTTATTTGAGTCATTTAATGTAAAACATAAATATGTACGATATTCGCAATGCTACAAATAATATAGTGTATATCTTTCAAACCGGTTTCTGGATGTAGTTAAGGTTTTTCAGAATAAAATACCCAATCTAACTTTTTCATAAATATGAATGATTATTGTATTCATGGTGGGATTGGTTACATTGCTTCGTAAAAAAATACCGGAATCACGTTTTTCCTTTTGGAAGGCGAGTCTGAGAATGGTTGTGTCACAGGAAACAGGGCACTTAAGAATTTATGGGAACAGAGATAAACAGCAAATTAGTATAAAACACATCATTGATAATTTGCATAACCGTATTTTGTGTATATCTTTACATAAATCCCGAATGATGTTCATTCCATTATTAAATTTGAGCCGATTGACTCGATATAAGATAATATCTTGTTTAGACATCCCTGCCCACGGACGCTGCAACGCATGTTCTTTCTTAATTTCGATAATATATGCAACGCAACCAAAGCAAAGGTTGTTATTTTGGATAAAATTTGAACCACACTTAAGCAAACAAAAAGAGGTTGCGTTAATCATATGTACAATGTAACTGTGTTGTCTGAAAAAGAGTAATTCAGTTCAAAGCTGATTGCTGACCATTTGAATTACCAACTGCACTGCAAACAAGCAGAAACAATATCGTTATAATATTTTCAGGCAATTCGATATTAGCGCAAACCAAGTCAATCTAAACTACTCGGTGGGCAGTCATCATATTTCTTCACAAGTTTAGTATAAATGACCAAGGGATTAATTTACTTAATGATCACCTGACCAAATGAGGGTTGTGCCTGATACAAAATAGTTTTACTTCTAGCGTAATGTTTGAGCTCTCATAAAATATATAGGTTGAAATGGTCTATATCAAAATAGAATACGCAATATATATTTGAAATGGAATGTCCCACCAGTACTTTTCCAAACAGAGATTTTCTGGGATGTAAAAGATCATGACGTAAGAATAGGGAATTTTTGTATATTCCAGGTATTGTAACATACAAAACAACGGAAGCAAGTATTACAACAATGGGTACAACAGAAGAAAGCGTTACAACAAAGGAAACGACAACTATGTTCGTTATTGACACAGGTGAGTTTGTTGTGCATCAATGTGAATGTGTAGAAACAATTATTAAAACAGTCACTGCAATGGGTGCGTTGCTTAGTCAGTAAGACATTATATATACATTCTTCTTTCTAAAAAAATACTCGCTTTGTTTTAGACGAATGTTTTAAGGAACAATATGCAAGTGACTATCGTGGAACAGTTAACACAACCATTCACGGTAAAACTTGTCAGAAATGGTCAGACCAAACTCCTCACTCTCACACCAGGACTCCAGCTAACTTCCCAGGCGCTGGCCTTGGTAACCACAACTATTGTAGAAACCCTGATGGAGAAATACAAACATGGTGTTACACAACAGAACCTGGTACACGTTGGGAACTCTGTGATGTCGGATACCCATTCGATAACTGTGGTACGTAAGCTTCTAAATTCAAGTACATAATTTGCATATGTATACATATGTATGGCAGAGTATTTTAAAATTAAAGGTATATTGTCGATTACAGTTAGCCTTGATTTATTTGTATTTACAGACTCTTGTAATTATGAGTGTATTTAAAGTGTGATTAGTATAACACTTGTTTTCGTTGTGCAAGACTCTCATCAATTATAACGGGGTTCAGTTATTTTTAAATAATGCAGTTTCACTATATTAATAATCTTCCATACGTATTTTCAATTTAATATTATTTATGCAATATATACATTATATTTATACAACATTATATTATGTTACTAATGTACGTAACTATGCCAAAACAGTTGTTATTTATCGTTACAGTTTTTACATCTGATTCACCAACATTTGTTCCAACAATCTATTATGGTAAATATATTTTATACTTAGTAGTAGCCGGTTATTTTTACCCGCGAAATACATGAAATGCACGGTTCGAAAGTCTAATGCAAAAAATCGAATGGTTTGTTTTTTTAACTTAAATAGCTCTGTATATTTCAATATAAAAATACCTGTCTGTCAGTGAAAAATTTGACGTTGAGATATATTGTCCACTATTGACTATCATCAAGCATGAAAATACTCCAAAATTAGTTTCACATTTGTCGAATCGCAAGCGATGTTCTGACACCACTTCGAAGCTGTGATTTTTGTTTGTCTTGTTTTTCCCCTAAATAATTATACTATCATTGTTAAATACTACATTCCCAAATATGTAGATATCATACTGACACATTATTACAAGAGGACTGGTTTTGCTATAACATTAAAGTAAGCTCTTTCGAAGATAAGCTAGACACGTCATGTGGAAGTTTCATGAGGAACTGAACCTTGGTTGATATGAACATGCCTGAGCAAATGTAAAACACAAGTCGAGAGATGTGGCGTGCATGTGTATGTGGCGAGATCAATTGACAGCGAGATCTCGCGTAATACACGATATCCGCGGTTAAGTAAACGAACATTCTCACACAGGTTGATTACTGTTCTTTTATCAAATAAATATTTACACAAAAAAAAAAACATGTTCTATGAGTTCGGGTGCATATTTACCTGCATCTATATGTATCGTAACAAATTGTTTTGTCTTTTTTATTTCATAGAATAGAGTATCTAACAACGACAGAGTCACAAGTTTAAAGATCATATGTCTATCTGGGATTGGATTTAAAAAATACTATGGTTACATTTTGCATACACAATTAGAAATTAGTATACATTTTAGTGAAGTGGTTAAATATAATGTGTGCTGCAAGAACATTTAAACATCACATATAACTATTTATGGGATTACCAGGATTGTTATAGATATATTACTTTTGAGATTTTAAGATTAAATGTATTAGTTTACTTATATTTCGTGATGTGATACATAAGTCATATTTATCACATTGATTAGATACTGGGAACTTGGAATTAGCAAGATATATTTCTGACTAGAATACTTATAGGCTGCTATATAAGATGAATTACCGATATATTAAATTATATACATTTAATATCAATTATATATCAACCCATAATTTAATTTCGTTGTATTATAGCTTGATCACGTTTCGATCGGTTATATTGTGTATAATCAATGATACATGTAACATCGGACAATAATCGTTTCAAACGTTCATTGAAGTATTTGTGTCTCCAACGTCATGAAATTGATTATGCCTATTAGCATAATACATATAAAATATATCAAATTATATAGAAAATGTATTTCAGAAAAAAACATATGATGCAGTGCAGTAAAAAGCGGATATATATTGGTGGACATTTTAGTTTCCTATATCAAAATCATTATTACGATACAAAGTATACTGAAAACTAAGCCATGTATACCTGAGCAATTCTGAAGTTAGAATATCAGAATTTAAATATAAATAAATAGTAATAAATGACAATATTTATTAATAGACTGAATAGCAATGTACAATTACTTCGTCAATAAAAATGAAAAACGAAATAAATTTAATTTATGTTGTGTGAGTGTCACTATCAAATATATAATATGTACCTCTGTCAAGTACATAGAGCAAGAATATACTATGTGATACGTTATATTATGACCCTACATACAATCAAGTTATAGTTAATAGTTATGTTGTAGTTCATGATTATTCCAGGTCATCAAGGTCATGGTATCACAGAGGCGGCAGCACAAATTTTGCATGGGATCGGGCAAGATCTGCTCACCATCCCTCACTGAATCTATATCCTCTGAGACGCTATTTCCTGCATTTTTTTGCCGGGAGGGGGGAATTTTGATGACACAAAGGGTTTCTGCCCCCTCATTGTTTTCTTGGAACGACCACCGCCACTGTATCAGATGCATAATTTTGTATTTACAAACATTGAGTCATGCCGTAAGTTGAAGCACAGTACACAAATGTAGTTTCTAAGAGAAAAATCGCAAGGAGTATGTGTATGTCTGATAGCTCCATACGATTCAATCGGCAATAGAAGACCGGCTACTCACCCGGTCTAGTTTAGCGAATCGGTTTCACACCACCGGTGATTTGCTTGCCAATTTTAGCTGTGTTGCTAAACAAAACAAAGTACTAGCTCGACACATCACAGCGCGATTGCAATTTGCAGGACAACATATCCGTGAGATGTGGGCTCAAATTATCATGTCGGACTAATCCAAGTTTAAGATGATTCGTAGCCGTGGAAGACTATTTGTATGTCGGAGACCAGATGAAGAGTACGAGTTGAAATGTGTTAAATCTACGATGACATTTGGTGGTGGAATCATCATGGTGTAGGGATGTATTTCGGCTACCGACGTAGGTTCGCAAGTCCGTGTACCGACGACGACCGATGAAAATATTGAGATATCCTGCAAAACGAAATGATACCATCGCCACTAAGTCTCGTGAATTTCCATTTCCAACAGGATAGTGACCCCCGTTCACATAGCGAAGAGGTCACACGTGCATTATTGACAATTGTCATGTTCTATTTCATCATGAATATTGTTTTCTATTTCATGTAACAAAAAGTACAAGGCTTTTACAAAGAGAAATATAAACATTACACAAAACGATTACTGACAAAACACAAAGACAAGGTTACAGGTCGTGAGGCGGGAAAAACACAAATATATATCAAAACGGCAATGTTTACAACGTATCAACTTTAAAGCAATTTCACTTGTTGTTAAATCGTGCAATGCTATCTGTGTTAAAAGCAATTTCTTTATCTATTAAATAAGCATTTTTCATCTGGTATTTTAGGCTAATCACGTCTGGTTCACATTTTTTACGCCGAGCAGAATAAATATGCTGTTTGCACATCAAAGTAAAATGATTTAAAAGTAGACAATCCTTTATAACATAAAGATCAAAACTTATATCTCTATCTGATAATAGTACATTTTTGTTTGTTCAGCTTTTCCATAATCGCAAACATTTACCCCAGTGATGAAAAGATGTTCAACTTTTTCTGTGTCTGCATTGCAAAAAGTACATTAAAGAACAGTCTACTACTTGCCATAAACATAAAGTGTTGTTGGGAAAAATGATTTTGTGCAAATACCTAAACTGAAAAGCACGTAGTCTCGTATCAATAGTACAATGATTATATAAGTTATAGACCAATTTCCAGTCTTGGGCTGGAATTTGAATTTCTAGCCTTTCTTCCCATTTTGTGTGTACTTTTAATGGTTGATCCTGATTTGTCATTAGGCATTTGTACGAGAATTTATGTGATTTAGACTTATCTTGAAAATTATTATTAAAGAAATTTGCAACTCGCTATATTCATAGAAAAAGCCGTCCTCATTTAGTAATTAAATCATAATATTTTTTCTCTGCCAACTTCTCTTATCCACATACTCGTACTTAATTTTAATATTTGAATTTAGCCATAAGTTTTGGCCTTGTATATTTGGCTCTGTGTCTACTTGTTTAATGCAATTTTGCCAAATGTCTAAGATTTCACGTCAAAAATAGTTTTGAATTCTTTTTTTACATCTCTCAACAAATTTGTTATCAGACTCACAAATTTTGGAATAACCAAAAGTTGCCTGAAAGAGTATCATCCATGAGTGCTCATTCTTTTCTGACGACCGTTTTACCTAACTAGCTTTTAATGATTTTGACAAAAATAACAAATCGGGCATATTCAATCCACCTTTCTTTGTTTTGAGAGCTTGGCTTAACAACTCAATTGCAAGTATGAATCATCTTGTCTCACATCCCGAGATATATTAAACAGTTTGCTAGCATGACCACTGTTTATCACACAGGAAATAGAATCATTATAAAAGCATTTAATCCATTTTTAAAGAGTTTCCAAAACCAAATTTATCAACTACTGCTCCAATGTAACTCCATTCTATGGTATCAAATGCCTTTTTCGAAATCTAACAGGAGAAGACCTGGGATTTTATTATGCTCTGTGTAATCCAATAAGTCGTATAGATAACGGGTATTTTCACCAATAAATCTGCCTTTTACATAACCAGTCTGAGAATCACTAACCAATATTGGTAATACCTTTTTTATACGTTTTGCAGTACATCCCTAGGCTAACTTGTAATCAGTATTTAGCAACATTATAAGACGCCAATTTTTTAACAAGATTTATCTCTGCCTTTTTTAGGCATAATGCCCTTTTTTGTTAAATAAACTTACCACCAACTTCTAATGAATAATTTATAGCATTTACCAGAAACAGTTTGATATTGTTCCAAAAAAAAATTATAAAACCCGCAGGGAAATCCATCACTGCCGGGCGTTTTATCTTTTTCCATATTTTTTAACATTCAAGCATTTCTGCTTCTGTTATTGGCCCATTACACTATTCCCGGTGTTCTACGGATAACAGTAGCAAATTAACCGAGAAAAGATCATCCATGGGAACAACTTGTTTGGAATGATACAATGATTCGTAAAACAACTTTTCCTCCTTTAAAATTTTAACCAGGTCAGTAATATCAATACCACTGGTTGTTTTCAAATGGGTTATTGTTTTATCAATATAGTTTCGTTTTTCCAAACTTAAAAAATATATGGTACCCCTTTCCCCCTGCTCGTCCCATTGCGCTTTAGAACGAATAATAGCCCCACGGGTTTTCAAACTATGCAGATTTACTATTGATTTTTTTTTCACCTCCAAGACAACAGCATTATTTACATGTAAATTGTTTTCCAGCTCATTTTTTTTTTTCAAGTATCCTAAATTGTTCGTCCTGTTCCCTTTTTCTGTGCGAGCTATAAGCAATGGACATGCTTCGTATTTGTAGTTTTAATACATCAAAAAATAATTGAGGATTAATAGTAAACTCACATTTGTTCAAAACATTCATTTCTTGTATCTTGTACTGACCAACAACTTCTTCGATTGTTTCTTTTACTTATGCACTATCTTGTAATACTGATGTATATAATTTCCAAAACCCCCTTCCCGTCTTTTGCAAAGCAAAATTACAATACAAAGTAATTACACAATGATCTGAGCGATATTAATACGATATATCGGATTGTTTAACAAACGTAGCAATGTCCAGGGTCACAAGGAAATAGTCTACACAACTTTGCTTCAAAGGGTTTATTTTATGCCAAGTGAAACGAAAAGAATCCGGGTGCATATCTCTCTAAATATCACACAGATCAAAAACTTCTTACATTTTTTTCAATTTTGGTGTTTGCTTTTGAATTATTACAGGTATTATAGCCTTTAGAATCTAAATTATAGTCTGAAAATACATTCAATCGCCGCATAAAATAATACTTACATTACCAAAATCGTCTAGAATATTTGTGATTTCTTCATAAAAAGTTGGGTTATCAATATTAGGACCATAAATGCTACACAATGTAAAACAGTGATTTTGAATTGTTACATCCAGAAAAAGAAAATTACCGCATGCATCCCCTCTATATTTGCGAATCCCCTTTATATGCACTAAAGTGGCATTTTCCTCCCCATTCTAATTCCCATTTTGTTTCCTCTCCAACACGACAATGACTATCCTGTAAGCAAAAAATGGAACATTCTTTATTTTTTTAACCAGCGGAACACATCTCTCCTTTTTTCACTAGTGGAACAGGCCCTGACATTTAAAGATAACATTCTAGTATCGCCAGTTCAAACATTATTTTCACAATGATTATTGCATATAATAATGCCCCAACCCATGACCTGAACAACAAACAACAAAAACAATATTTCGCCATTATCAAAACCAAAGTTACCAACAAATATTCGTTAAAACTTAAAAAAAACAAGGATAAGAATGAAAAATAATCTTGGCGATGCCGTCAAAAACAAAACAATAGTAAGCGAATGCTTGTCTAATGATCACATGCCGGCTCTGTCTCAAAATACAATTATAATTCATACGAAAAGGAAAACGCCATAATATACCAAGATTATAAACTTTTGAAAATATTTTATGAGAAAA